TTTCAACGCCGCCGCGGCCGCCCACGCGGCGCACGCCGCTCTGTCTGTGTTTTTAACCTAACAGTATTTGATTTTGCCGGTGCAATACGCCCTATAATTGAACTATATAAATGTTTTTATAAACATTTATTTCGTATACCCCGTTTTCTCTTCCGTGACGTCGCCAAATCGCATAAAATATTAATGTTACTCTCCTCACTGCTATTACTATCACTACTAGTACTAGACATTTTTCTGTTAAAAGTATCAACAAACAAAACAAGAACGAGACTTACGTATGTAGATGTCAACAGCAACTAAATTGTATTTTCCTCACCACTAGTTACAGCATGTCGCCGTATGCCGCCAAAAAACACGTGACAACAGATTCAACCATAAGTTTAAAGAAAGAAATAATTCCGTGATTTATTTCCTTCTTAAAATTGTTGCACATTTCGTGTTGGAATATCTCGGTATCTTATAAGGTGTTTATTCCCTACTTAGCGCGGACAGATGGGTCTTGCCTTAAAAGGTATATTTTTGTTAAAAAGTCGTTTCGCCATATTTTGGCATTTATTCCCTTCTTCTAACTAGTGGTTCAACTATACAGCATAGTTTAATTATAGATATATAAATATAGAAGTATACAATCATATCACAATTATGCACCGTGTGTCCTACTCTCGCTTACGATGATAAATTGAGGTTATGAAATACAAAAACGATAATATAATTCATGGACCAATAAAAGTACAGAAATATTACTTATAGAACATAAACTCTCTCGAAGAATACATTCCTTGTTCTTTTATTATCTTATTTAAAATATGTTTTATGTGCGTCTTAAAAGCTTATAAGAATATTTTAATTAACCGCAAGATGCAATTAAACTCTACGTCGTATAAACATTCACCATTAAGAGTATCTCGAGGAAAGTTGCCCATAAACTGATTACTTATGTATTTGTGCAATGTTTAACGGACAACAATGAGAAAAAGAGCTCAGTATAAATTTTAATGTAACCGCCCAAGTGGATATACAATCATAATTATTTTCATTGACAATGTGGAATTCATTAATTACCTACATTTAAGCGGTACCTGGAGCACAAGGCGTGTTATTGAATTGATTTGAGTTGGCACATTGGGAGTCATCAATAACGTACAAAGAATGAATGACGGAATTAATTAAAACTAAAAACATAACAGTCGCTGTTTACATCTTACTTGAAATTGTGAAAAATGATATATCCGTTTTAGCTGCATAATAACATAAAAATGTTTTCTTTTATTTACAAACTCGCCTCAGGCGATATAGCTATTAGCGAAATAAAAAGTAGTACAATAATCAAATTTTGTACAAAGAGTGTATTGTTTTTAAATATTGAATAATCACTTTGGCACCGCAATTTAAGATTAGTTCTTTCAAATTCTCCGGGATTCCGAATTCACCTCTTTCCGCACTGTGTAATGGACACTCCACAAAAAAAGTACTTTATTGTTAGTGGGGTTTCGCAAGTATAACACTCCGGTGGGGGATCACGTGTCATTATATTTCCATGCATCAGGCGACTATAACCAAGCTGCAGTTGCGTGATGATCAACCGAGACAAACGATTTGTGGAACTACCAACCCATGGTTAAAATGTTGTTTTTATTTTAAGTGATTTTGCCTGTTTTTTGTACCATTTGCTATTTCATATGTCATCGTCATCTATTTTTCTGTGGAAATATGACTTAAGATCTGTCACTGGACTTTTTAGATAGATTTCAATAGTTGCGTTCTTTAAGGCTTTGTGTGCATATTTATCTGCCAGATCGTTTCCCGTAATTCTAATATGAGATGCTACCCACAGGAACGCAATGTTTCTTTAGCTTTATATATTGCAAAGAGTTATTTTGTTAAAATAGTGTTAGTCTCCCTTAGTTTATATTTATTTATTTCATCTTTTGTTACAAAGGCAGATTCTACACCATGTTTCGTCTTATATCTATCGGTGACTAACTGTTTGAAGGAAGACAATTGAGAATTAAAGTTTTATATTTAAAATTATTTAAACAACGATTATTTTTTTTATGACAAGCGTAAAAAATAATTACAAATGGTACCAAACGATACGATATGCATTTTAAACATGAATTTTAAATAAACGTATGGTTTGGAACCATTGATAATTATTTTTTTTATGGACATGCGAATTACCTTGTAATTTGAATGGTGAGATTTATTTACATTTTTTAAAAAATGATTTTATTGATTTATTGGAAGAATTGTCATCTTAGGGCGAAATATTTGGTTTATACAAGATGGAACACTACCATATTATAGAGAGAGGGCAGTGAGAACATACTTAATAACAACTTTCCTGAACGTTGGATTATACGTGGTAGTCATATTTTAATATGAGAAGTTCTTTTATGAAATGTATTGACAAATGAATTAAAGAACTTTGACAACAAGTTTAATGTTATTTAGTTTAACTATTTCTTAATTTGGTTTGTAAATATTTTGATTATGACTTTAATTTAATACAAAACGTAAAATGTTTGATGTAAAATCCAATTATTCTGTTATGTTGTCAAATATTACCATTATTTATTCTTTTTTAAGATAAAAATACGTTTATTGACGTTTCAATTTCCACTTCGGAAATCGTTCTCAAAATACAAACAGTAAATTAAACAAATTGTGTTGTCCAAAACCAAACCTAACAATGAACAAGAAAGGACAAAGAATTGCATTTATAAAATACCTTGTGAATGCGATGACCTTTATCCAAAACCAAACCTAACAATGAACAAGAAAGGACAAAGAATTGCATTTATAAAATACCTTGTGAATGCGATGACCTTTGTCCAAAACCAAACCTAACAATGAACAAGAAAGGACAAAGAATTGCATTTATAAAATACCTTGTGAATGCGATCAGTTTTATTTAGGTGAAACATCAAGACCATTAAATGTCAGAATAAGTGAACATCAATCTTATATTAAAAATAGAGAATTCGATAGATCTCAAATATGTAAACACGCATGGGATAATGAACATAGGGTTCAATGAAATAATTCAAATGTAGTCCTAAAAGAAACGGATGGTAAAAAAAGAAAAATCAAAGAAGCTGCTCTAATTATGCTAAATGAGGCCAATTGTGTCGCAAATTCCTCGGCAGAATGTAATAGGACTACTACTACATTCCTCTAGGAATGTAGTAGTAGTACCAATATTGAAAGGGGAAGTTATTAATAAGAAAATACCAGTATTAGTAAGTCAGTAACATATAGAGGATACATCATTTATGTTTTTTAAATAACGAAACATATAAAAATCAGAATTTTGGTGTTTATTGAAGGTAAACTAAATGCACGAACAAATACTTACCATGTCGGGATAGTATTATGAGGTTTTTTTCCTGGTTTTTCCCTCATAATTTACTATGGAATCACTAATAGGAGAATTTTACTGTCATCATGTCATGTGTTTGAATTACATGCTATGATTTTTTTCTGACGGATATTCTCAAGTTAAAGTTGATTTCATGTAATCGAATGAACTATCTTATAAGTAAAGTCGTCCCAGGAGCGCAACTCAACAATATTGGCAATATCATTTTAAAGTCGTCTACTTTAAAATGCATAATGTATGTCTGAATTGTCAATATAAATGAGTCAGATAAAATTAAATTATTAGAAGAATTTTTCACTATGTAACAAAAAACAAAATTTGTTTAATTTACTGTTTGTATTCTGAGAACGATTTCGGAAGTGGAAATTGAAACGTCAATAAACGTATTTTTATCTTTAAAAAAAATTAATTATCCAAATTAATTATCCTGCTAATATATTTATTTTATTTAATATTTCGTTAACTATTTTATACCAAAAAATTTTATTAAAGGCATTTTATACCAAAATTCAGAAGTATTGATCTTTTTTTTTAATTTTCTTATCTTTCTTTCTTAAAAAAGTTAAGTGCAAATGTATTCCACATATGTGGCATATGTGGCGCCCTCTATTAGCCATATTAAAGTATGCATCAAATTATAATCTCTGGTGTTTAATAGTACCCAGTTATGAATTTTGATATAAAATTTTCACAAACATGAAAGTTATAGTGAAAATTAAAATTTTAAATTTCCACTTTAACACCCTGTATCTTTCTTAATGTCAACATTTTATTAAAGTAGCTTAACTTAAAACGTAATATTTTAAAGAGTAGAATCTACGTTTTCTTTTTGTACAATTACTTAAGGATCACCGTGTATATGTATTAATATAAGCGTTCGTCAAAAATAAAACTTTTTAATAGTATACATATGATGTGTAATTTCAACTACCACATCTAGAAAAAATAGCTTACAGAGGTATTATTCATTATTGATAGCGGAAGGGGGCGAAAAACTGATCTTTACCCCCTTGACAAATCTCCTAGTTCCGGACCTTCCGGGTCCTTTTTGACATGTTGATAAAATATATTTGATGTGGTCCTTCCAGGTTAGAGCTTGATCAATTTTTAAACCTAGATATTAAATTGTTTTTGCATATTCAAGTGTATGACCCCCAAGTTTTAAAGTAGGTAGTAGTAGTTTCCTTTATCTGCTTTGGTCTCTTTAAGAATATGATGTAGTGACTTTTAGGTGAACAAATTGAAAACCACACCTTTTAGACCATGCAATATGTCTATTGAGTTGATCTTGTAAACGCTTTGTGCAAATCAAAATAAGTTGCAATACAGTTTTGGTTAATTGTGAAAGCCTTATTAATATGTATTTATATACCTACTATATTCTCGGTGGTCGATTTTAAGGGACGAAATCCAGATTGTTCATTAATTAGTTACAGACTTCTGGTTTTTTTCTTCCAGACACATATTTATTTATAATGTTTATAATATATTTATAATTTTTTCTAAAAGCTTATACATTACACAACGATAACAAAGTTACTAGTTTTCTAGTTACTAATTTTCTAATTGTGAAAATCATTTAGTATCTCATATGTTAATTATTTATTTTCTTTTTCAGCCTGATTACTACCGAGATGCTGCACATTTCTATCAAGTAGATGACACACCAGAGTACAGACTGGAGATACCCAATGCCAAGATCGACTATACCGGTACATACACCATATATGCTAAAAATTGCCATGGAGACGCAAAAGCCATTATTTCTCTTCAAATAAAAGTAAAAGGTACAGTATATAAATAAGAGAGTTTCTAGTTTCGAGTATTGGGTGTTAAATTTATTACAGTTATATAAACATAAATATGAAATTACTAGAACATTTTTAAATGTGAATAGTCAATTTGAATGATCTTTGACCCCGACTAATGTCAAAAGTCGCTTTCAAATTTAATTTCATTCGATTTTTAAAAGTTGATATCGTTTCCATACCATGTATTGCCCTTCCACAATATTATTAGTTAGTATGGGTGATTCATCATAAAGATTATCTGCTATTGTCTGCATCTTGTCTAGCTATGTCATCAAATATGATTTAAAACTGTAACCACACTGATCAACTATAATAGTATATTACTTTATGAGGCGGAGAAGCATGACTTTTCTTGACGCGCCCGATATTACGCGCCGAACGAAGTGAGGCGCGTAATAGAGGGCAATCTTCTACAAGAACAAGCGGCATTTGTTCCATAAAAAAAGGTATACGTGAGCAAATACAAAACCTGAGACAACTCATTCAAAAGTTGAGAGAATTTAAGTACCAATGATAATATGCTTTGTTAACTCTTAGAAGTCATGCAGTTTTGTAAGCTTGATAAATCTGTGATCCATTTTAATAGATATTGGGGCACCAATAAACCTACTATTATTAGTATTAAAAATCTATATCAGTCCAAGTTGGCAGCAATTTACGTCTAGATCAGAGTCCTCAAGCCAATTTAAAGCAGAGAGGGAGGTTAGACAAGGATGAGTTTTGTCACCTGGCCTCGCAACAAGGGACAGAAACATAAAGAGTAGAAGAGCAATATTGGTGTTGAATGGAATGCTCTGGTGAGAGTCGATATTGAAAACCAACAACCGAATACTATATAATACTGTAATTCAAAATCTGACAAATAAAGAAGTAAATAAAAAAATGCTAAAAGCCAAAAAATATGATTATCATTATTATGATGAAATATAGATTACCGAAACAACTGTTAAATTGGCTACATATACAACGTGGAAGACCAAAAGAAAGTTGGAGATAAGGCAAAGATAAATAAAATAGATACAGCAACATATATGAAGATTCGGGGAAAGATACAGATACAGATAGATGGTGACTGTATGATTGTAGATAGTCTGTGACACAAGATTTTTACTGTATTAGGGCGACCTGTTCTTATTGAGATATTTGTTTAAATGTTATAGACGGATATTTTGATTTAAAGTGTTTTTTTGCAGATCCAAAACCTACTGGAAAAGATATGGGCAAGAAGAAGATTGTGTAAGTATATTTTATTTTTTAGGAATGTTTATTAGGTTCTATAACCAGTACCTTGTTCTGTTCCATATATTCAGATAGTCTTACGCTAGGCGGGGCATTTTAGTAAATATTTTGGGTTATGTTGCATTAAATATGCATAATCCAATTTAAAAAGGAGTAGGAGTAGGGAAGACTACTGTACCACAGTATATATAGAGTATATAGAGGTGAAACCTCTATATACTGTGACTGTACGTTGAAACAGTTTTTCAAAAAAAGCGCATGTTAATATTTTTTTAATAAATCAAATATGTATGATGCATACCAGTGTCCTGTAGTATCTAGTACACATCCACAATAATTATTTAAGTTTATATTTTTATTATGAATAACTAAAAAAATATTTTTTTAATTAGTTTTCGTCCCAAGGTACAACACCATCCCTTATCTTGGGACGCATAGGCATGTACTTTAGAACGTGAGGGTAAAAACACAATAAATCAATACTTCTGTTGCTGGGTATACCGACAAAAGGACGCGGAAAAAAGGACGCATGAAAAAGGACGCGGAAAAAAGGACGCGCGAAAAAAGGACGCGTGAAAAAAGGACGCGTGGAAAAAAGGACGCATTTCATTAATGAAATCTATAAATAGTTTATTTTAATTGACAATAGCAATTACCCCCGTTTATCCCCTATATATAATTACAGAAAATGATTCTACCTAACCTAAAATCGGTTACGGTAAAAGTAAAAAATATTTATATGAAAAAAACTTGCCTTCACACTTTATCCAGGCTTAGGACTGGCAGCAGAAGCTGGCGTGTTTACAAGTTTTTTTTTATTTTTTTTTAATTTGTTGCTTTTTTTTGGAATTTTTTTGTCATTTTATTTTTTTTTTGTTTTATTTTTGATATTAATTTTTTTTGTATTTTTTTATGTTTGCAACTGAAAATTGTGAGCAATGCCTCTCAAATATTCTAAAGTTGGCCTGTCAGCATAATCGGCAACAATAGCCCTTATCCTGTTTGCTGTATCTTGATATTTTCTTTTGCGTGGAGGTACATTGCTCGAAATGTACTGCTCTATTTTCAAAACATTTAAATCATATTCTCTTTTTAGAGAATTAATAAATTTCCAAATATTCGGATGTGTACTATTGAGAAGAGAAGAAAAGCTGTTGTGCCATCCTTCGACAACATTATTAGTTCGAGATATATCTTGGTCTGCCAAATCGTAACAATTCCATACATTTGCTGGAAAAAGGGGTTGTCTTCGAATTCCTCTTCTAGCTAATCTCCCCATCCAAGTGTCTTCAAAGTAATTAATCAGCGGCACTAGTAGTTCTTCATTTTGTGTATAAAAATCGCTATTGAGCAACTCCTCGTACACTCTGACTACATGGTTGTCTGGAACAAACGCAAGAGCTGTCAATTGTCTTAGGTGAAGGGCGAAGTCAGGATTCTCAATATATCTACGTTGCAATCCGGCACTTTGAATATGGCGCCACGTACACTGCGAGAAATGAAAAAAACATCCGCGGATTCTCACATTTGGGAACTCAGTTTGTGCAGCATTCATTGTCGCTCTTTCAAAGTCCATCATTATTGTTAGAGGGCGCAAGGCCTGATTCAACACCTTTAGTTGCTGAAAAAACACGTGTATAAGTCTCTTGTGTTTTGTTCGTTAGAAGTGCAAATACAGTCGGGATTACATTACTGTATCGCACTCCATGAATTGTGTATATTTGAGAAAACAATGGTGGTGCTGAGTTAAATGTTCCATCAGCATACCAATGATCGCATTGTTCCCTAAATCTTAAATTTCTTTGTGTTGAAAATAACAAAATACGTTCTTCTTCTGGCCCGCTATCAAATAATAGAAATAGCTCACCGCCTGTAGTTGTTTTATATTCTTCAGGAAGCACAAGTTCTTCTAAATTTCTCGGATTTGCGGGCGTACCTCCTAGCTCGTTCCGAACTCTTTGCACAGTTTTTTTTTAACGACGACACTGATGGAAGTTGTGCCGTAGCAGCTAAGGAAAGTCCTTGAGAAATTTCACTTACTACACCTTGGGTGGAGTGTTCCAGTTGTTGTGCAACTTCTTTCATCCGGTTACAAGCTTCTTTTGCTTCAATCTTTGCCGTGTCTGCAACGTGATTATGTTCTGTGGATTTTGTAATTTCATCCACAACGGTATGCACTCTTTCTGTACATTTGCACTTATTATAAGTAGCACACTTCCAAATTGTCTCTTCACCAATCATTCGCTCTTTTTTATGGAGAAATCCATTATAAAGTAACAAGTTGTTGCCTTTTTGGCTTTTCACAAACGCTAACACCATCTTAACAGACTGATATCAATTTGTAAAATGTTTTCTTGTTAAGAACAGAATAAATTACCTACCGCGACAAGTTTCCCCTATATAAATAATTTGGTTAATGATGTTTTGTTAGATCGGACCTTTTGTAATATTCATTTCTTAAAAACAATTATCAAACAATTAGAAAGTTTTATTTTCTTACTAATCGTTTCTATTTACATTCTTAACATTACCTGCGGAATTTACCAACCTTCCGGTTTGCGTTAAACCCTCATTAGACCCCTTACTGGGCTGGTACTTGGGTTTTTATCTAATCCCATACATAAGTCTGATAATATGGAATCTAACCTGCTTATTTATCTTGTCTTTAAAGTTTGTATGGACAAAAGTGCTCTTGGAACATTATATGAAAAAAATATGAGTTTACTATGATAATTTTTTATATTAATTATAACATGCTCCCCTTTAAAATTTCAGAGATGTTCAGACAATACCATCAATCGAAAAAGAACTGAGCAACATTAGATGCTGTGACGGAGACTCAGCCACCTTAGAATGCCAGGTCCTTGCCACTCCACCACCTGACGTTCGCTGGGAAAGAGCTGGAAAAGTAAGTAATGTTTAGATTGATGTGTATCTTATTTAAAAAAAAAAATTAATATTTTAGTTGGTGCGCCTAGGAGGCGATTTTGATGCAGACTTCGATGGAAAAATAGCAAAATTGTCTATAAAACGAGTTTATCCTGAAGATGAAGGAGAATACACATGTGTAGCTTATAACGAATTAGGAACTGCTTCAACATCTGCATGCCTTATTGTTGATCGTAAGTATTTTACTCTTATTAATGTCTTTCATCATCAGTTTTATATACCAGAGGACAGCTACATAATTTTGGAGATGAAAATGCGGCTTTGATATCAAATTTGACATGAACACAGCATGAATACTATTAAAAGTCAAATAACCGACAATTCTAATGATACATCTTGGTTTGAATATTATATGGATAATTCTTTAAACAAATATATATGCATATATCTTTATTAAAGACTTCGAGACCCGAGCACTATCCACATCAATGCTCAAACTCACGTGTTGGCTACGATATGTTGACGAAATATTGGTGATACCTTGGTGTCTTTTTAAATCAATCTGAATGGTATACATTGTAGTATCCAGTTTACGATGGAGATGGAAACTGATTCATCCTTACCGTTATTCGCCGTTATCATACAGAAAAACCAATCCCAAGGTTTTCATCACCCTGTTTATTGAAAAACCACCCATGGCGATCGTTACTTGCATCATCCATATCATAAATTAATTAAGTCATTAATACCCTTGCGTCCAGATCAATGTGTCGTTGCGATTATGCAAGTAGACTCGCTGAACGTTTTAGTTTAAAACAAACCCTCATCCAAAACGGTTACCGTCAAAATCACATCAATTTCAGCATCCACGGACATCAATCTCCCACTCAATCTCAACCCATAGACCCAGACCCTCATCGTACGAAAGCTTTTCTTCCTTACATCAAAAGTTTCATTGACAAAATCGAAAAAATTCTTTAATCAAGAGGAATAAAGTCAATATTTATCCCCCAACAAAAACGTTCATCTCTTGTCTGATCAGTAAAAGACAGCATTCCAAATGAATAATACGGAATTTATGGAATTCTTTGTTCAGACTGCCGCCATTCTTACATAGGGCAAACAAATCGTAGAATCCAAAATAGGGTTTATGAACATTCCATTTCTGTTCGCAATTTTAATTCAATTTCAGCTCTAGATCAGCACCATCTTCGTACAGGTCATAAAATTGATTTTGAAAACTCCAAAATTAAATCTCTTATCCGCTTCTATAAACCAAGAGTTATTTGAGAAGCCATAGAAATTGAAAAAAAGGATGACCCACATAATACAAAACAATCAAAAGGTAAACTCTCACCGAATTTTTAATTCGTTATAGTGCCTATAGTTTTTTATAAAATATGAATATGTACTTATGTTAAGCATCTGTGTTTGGGTATCTAAAATATATTTTGTCTCAATAAATTATCAAAGTACAGATATATCTAATGGTTACAAAAAGACAGCATGGACGACGACCAAGTGACCTTATAGTGAAATAACGACAGTAGCTAGTTTACCTTCTGATTATTTCTTATTCTGTATCTTGCACTCGAACAATTAGATCGAACTTATTTTATTTACTTTCTAGTTCCCGAAGAGAAAGAAAACCTTTTATGTCAACAACTGAAACGACCTAGTGAATTCCTGGATCCTTCTTCCAATAGAATCTCACCGAGATCTACACCGATCAGAAGTCTTACGCCAGCGCCATCTTACAGGGAAAGGGGTGTCACACAATTTAGATCCAGTAATCGAATCAGGGCTGCTCCGCCCAAGTTTTATGCCTACCCACACAATAGGGTAGCAGAACAAGGAGAAACTGTAAGGTAATGTATTAATAACTAATTCTGTAGCTAGTATTTACACGTTATATTTATAATTTGGGAGCATACGAAAATTTTTAAGGGAACTAATTTTAAACAACGATTTTAACCATGGAAACGATGGGCAGTGAGCTGTGTTGCTCAGAATCGGGGAGATGTGGGAGGCCTTCTTATGACATTCTTACTAGCACATAAAAAAAAAATAAGGAGGGGTTGAAACGGTCGAGAAAAAATCAAAAGATTTACAGGGCTCCATAATCATATTACTATTAAAACTCTTTAGCTACTGGACAATACATTAAGAGAACAAAGCACTTGGACCTAGTTTAGTTTCCAATTCTAGATTTAAAAGCAAAATGTAGTGCTTTTTTGTCAGTGGTCAGACCAAATTTATGTTTCAATGAAATAAATGAGGCATCATTGGATAAACCTTAAATTATCTTTTTTATACTTATTCTTATATACACATAGGTGTTTAAATAAACAACTTAATAATGATTGACACTTTGAATAACACTTGACAGATGGGTGCAAATAGTTTCTGTAAGATAACGATGGATGAAAGAAAATGATGTTTATGAACTGATTAGATATTGCTGTTATTTTTTGTAACTAAGTCTCTATTTATTTCAGATTCCAAAGTGCAGTTGCTGGTCACCCAGATCCCTGGGTCACATGGGAGAAAGACGGAGTACCAGTTACACCTTCAGCGAGACTACGTATGACCGAACGTGATGACCTTAGAACTCTGGAAATAACAGACGTGATCCCCAGCGATTCTGGGGTGTACAAAATAATCTTGGAAAACGACGTGGGCAGAGTAGAAACCTCGGCAAAGTTAGATGTCATTGGTCATAGAATACCCTCAAGTAGAGGGCTTAGAGCTAGAAGTTTATCGCCTAAACCTGCTCCGTACTATTCTAAAGGTTTAGTGGGGAGCTATACAAGGCTTACTAGTAAACCTAGTTTATATTCTGATTATAGATCTTCGCTTGCAAATTTAAAACGGTTTAAAGAAAACATTGATTCTCAAGATTACAAAGCTAACTCAGACTATTCGTTTACTTGTAATAATAATAAAGATAGTAGCTTTTGTCGACCAGAAATTATCAAAAGTCTTCCAAACAACTTAAAAGTTTCTGAAGGTGACTCCGTCGTATTGGAATTGGACACCATTGGAGACCAACCAATGGATATAGTCTGGATGAAAGATGGTTGCATTTTGCCTGATTGTATAGATTTTCAGCAGATTTCAGAAGACGGAGTCATCAGACTCATCTTGCGCGATGTGTATTCGCAAGATTCAGGGAATTACCGATGTGAAATATATAACTTGTATGGAGATGCATTTGCTACATGTTGTTTAATAGTTGAAGGTAAGTGAATATCTTAAATGCAGCTGCTTTAAGTGCTCTACTGTTTCTTGGATAATTTCTTCAGCATACATATTATATGGAATAGGATGTTTGATGAAATGCATTCATTTACGTTTCTGTAATTCATTTTATTTAAAAGCTTTTTGTCCTCTTTTATTCAATGGTTGATTTTATATCCATGCACATTTGGACCAACACACTCATGACAAATAAGACTTCTCTTGTTCCAAGTGCAGTCCTGAAGCCAAATTGTGTCTCACTGATATCTTGTTCCAGTGTTCTGATAATAACTGAATGAACAGAATAACTGTAAAGAATATTTTGAGGGTGTAACTTATAAATCAGGCTAATCCTTTAATAGTCATTGTGCTGATAAAAAAAGGTAAAATCTAACAAAAAAGAGGGTTATGATAGATGACAAATATACTGGCTGAAAAACATTCTCGACTAAACTGGGATAAACATATAGACACTTTTAAGAAAAGCAGAAGATAGAGGCGAATTTTCAATGGTTATAGCCAACCTTCATTAGTGGAGCCTGCACCAGAAGAAGGTATTATAGATGTCCCATTTCCTCAGTATAAGAAGAGAACCAAACTTCGAAGTGGTTGGTTATGAAAGATTCTGATTAATTAATATTCTTAGAAGCAAATTACATTTTGTCTTGAAAGTACATAAGTTTAAATGGCCACTTTGCTATGTCGAGTATGTACGTTTAATAGATAGTGAAAGTTAACTGTGCACTAACGAAAGATATGTAATTGTATGTAGAGTGCGGGATATGAATTGTTCGACTTCAGATTAGAAAATATGTAATTCTTCTAAAAATGCGAGATATTTCTGGTAATTTAATCTAATTAGTCAGAGATAACCAATATAAAAGCTTCGCCAAATTCCTTAAGCCTTCTCAAATGTATCTCCTAGACTTGGCTCTATTGGATGTCATTTGGATTATCTACCAATTTAAGTAGAAGTAAGTACCATGCAAGTCTAGAGTGGCGAGTGAGCCTACCAGCTGTCAATAAGCACCTTCTAGTATTAGTATTAAGCCGAGTGATGTTGGACTCAGAAAGCTTGGGTATGTGAAACCCAGCCTACCTTATATTTTTCAATTATCCCAAGACTCCTGAAACCTCCGTGGGATGAGCTTTCTCTTAATTCCGACTGAAAAGCACTTTAATTACAGCCTCGCACCCTAGAGATAAAGTAAACGAGCCCAGTCTTTCAAAGGCATAGGCCTGTTCGTTTTACTCTACACTGGGCGTGTCAGTTTCCATATAGCGGCAGACAGTGCTCTTGTAGATTCCAAAACTTTCTTAGGTAGTAAAAACTAGTCCCTTAAATTCTTCAACCATGACACTACCCTTCTTCCTATACTCATTTCTCCTCTTATATTTTTTTGTATTATAAGCCTTAGCAGCTCATATCGCTGTCCCCTCATTACGTATCCCATATATTGTAACTTTCTTATTTTTATTGTGTTTATTATTTTGCATTATTTGCCCATTTCTCGCAATACTTCCGTGTTAGTTTTCTTCTGTGGCAATGCTATTGTAAGCATCCTCCTGTAACACCACATTACAAAGGACTGTAACTTATTTATGTGTTCTTGCTTCAATGTCCAGCTTTCAAGTCCATATTGCAGTATCGAAAACACGTAGCATCTTAGTGCTCTTACTCTCAGTTCTAATGAAAGATCTTTGTTGCAGAGAATTGTTTTTATTTTTACAAACGCATTTCTTGCTATTTTTATTCTAGCTCTTATTTCGGTTGTTTGATCATTATTGTCTGAAATCCAGGTTCCTAGGTATTTGTATTAGTAACCCTTTCTATCGGTACATTTCCCAAATGTATGTTTGTTGGTATATTTGTTTTCTTTGTTATTATCATGTATTTGGTCTTTTTTATATTCATTTTTAGTCCATATTTTTCACAGAAACCTACCTAAAGCTAATTTTGGATACTTATCGGGCTTTTAACAGCTACCTAACTGTTTGAGCACATAGATATGGTCCTACTAACGCAAGTTTTATCAACTATTTCCTTAGCACAAACACAAATAAAGATCTCGAAAATCTCAGCATGAAAGATGAATAGGAATATTGCTCTGTCTATTTTGCTTGACGCAAGTTCGGTCCAATAAGAGATAATGCTGTTCTGCGCCACAAAAAGTAAAGAAGAGTACTAGCCGGCCTGACTTCAAAGAATTTCTCGACCAGTCGCTTTCGACCATTGCTTAGAGCACTTGAATACGCAGTCAGATAGAATAGTTTCATGCTCTAAAGTAAGATTTAGAGACGGCAGACCCAAAAACCCTAAAATCCGCTGTATGGACGATTTTCACGGTTTTTTGGAATATCAAATCACTTCAGCCGCTGAAAATTAGCTAGGATGTTGTACTTGATTTTTTGTGAATCGCTACAGGGATTAACAGTATCCATTATTTGGGAATATGTTACAATGAATAGCTTAACTATTACATCAAGCACGTCTTTATAAAGGATATGATTTAATATTTCGATGTTTAAATCATCTGGTCCAGTAAACATCTTTTGTTTTTATATTACTTTTCAGCATAATAATGATAATGAAGGTCCGGTATCTTTATGTATTTCCGGTGAATTTTTTCCTTTTCATTAAAAGGAAATTGTTTATTGCAAGAATCTCTTTTTCACGTCTGTAAATAATTTTTACGGATTAAGTTCATTTGATTACTGTGTCTGACAAAAATCTATTTAGTCCTTTAATTTTGAAGCACAATAATAACAATTCAGTCACTCTAAATATATGAGGTATTTAATAATTTTACACCGCGCGAAAACTATAAAGGCAAACGTGGCACTATGAGCAATTATTCTTCTTCTTTGTCAACCATTTTCCATCCACTAATAAATCTAGGTACCTCCCAATTGTTTCCAACTTTGTATCTTACGTTAATTTAATCCACTGCTATCCTGCCACTGCTCTTATGTCATCTACCCAACTCTTTCGTGGTCGTTCCATGCTTCTTGTTGCGCCTCTTGGTCTCCAAAGTGATGAAGATCTTCTCTCGAAGATGCTCCATTTCCACCTGTTATCATCATATCTGGCTATATCACCACCGGCCTAGCGCCGTTTTATTTTTGTAATAATGAGCTGTCTTAAGGGAATAATTTCTTGTCGAGAAAAACGTATCCTCCTCATTCACACTTCTATTTGTATTGTTACAGGTACCTGGGCTGAGGAACCACACATTCAAGATAATATATTTCCAGTAAAAAATAGCGAACAAAAAAATGTGTCCGATCATCAAAAGGTAAGTTTTAAGCTTTAAGTAAACTTTATTTAAAAAAAAAACGTTAGTAAAAACTTAAGATATAAATAAGATAGATAGAAATAAGATAACGATTTTGGTGAAGGATGATCAACAAATTAGTATGGCGATCGTACTACCATTTAGATCGGAATTAGCAATTTAATAAATTAAAGTTCGAAGGACCATTCACTGATGTGGGAATAAAAGAATAAAGGAATTCTTCTTCTTTTTCTAGTTCCATGACCGTTATCGATCGTTGGATATCATGTTGGCTACGATATTCGCTATCGTGACTTTATTGACAGTAGCTCTAAATAAAGATGTATTTGATTTTCTATACCATTAATTACTATTTAACTGGGAATAAGCCACAATTAAAGATAAAAATACGTTTATTGACGTTTCAATTTCCACTTCGGAAATCGTTCTCAAAATACAAACAGTAAATTTACTGTTATTAGTTAAATATTAATTAATTTAAAATGCCACAAGAAAATAGTTTCTATACCATTGCCTTAGATTTTTCAGCCATGCTGTTCTTCTTCTACCAGAACCACAATTACCTTAGATCTTTCCCTGAATGATCAGATGTAAAAGATCATATTTTTCAGGGTGTCTCATAATGTGACCGAAGTATTTCAGCTTGCATTTCTTTATTATATTGACCACTTGTGTTGTTTGGTTGTCGACGCAGCTTATTTTCAGTAGTCGTCTATATACCCACATCTCAAAGGCTGTCAAGCGTTTAAAGATAGCCTCAGTTAGAGTCCACGCGTCCTCTCCATACAGCAGGGCAGAAAAGATGTAGCAAGGTGTCATTCGAACTCTAAGGTCAATGCTAAGATCGTGACTGCAAAGTAAGTTTTTTATTTTTACAAAGGCAGCTCGGGCTTGTTCTATTAGGCTTTTAATTTCTGTGGTTGGATCCCAGCTCTCATTGATATTACTGCCGAGATACACGAGTTTCTCTACTCTGTCCAGTGTGGCATCTCCGACTTTTATACCGTCATCCTGTATATAATTTTGTTTGTTAACTATCATATATTTAGTTTTCTTAACGTTGAGTTTTAATCCATGCTGATCACAAGTCTGTTTTATTTTGGTTATTAGATTTTGAAGGTTTTCTCCGCAATTAGCAAGCACTAAGGTATCGTCGGCATATCTAATATTTAGATATGTTATATCTTGTTATATCTATATGATATATTTGGATAGTTCTTATTTTGACGAAATGCCCCTGAAGATGCTATTTTAAGCGAAAGTACTTGGGCTAGATTTAATTAACTTGTGCTCGATAATCGCCTTATTTTCAAAGTTCATTTATTCGAGCATTCAACCTCATTTCATTTAATATCTAATATTGTTGACGGTTACTCCATTCACAATAATACCTTCGGTTGTCTGTATTAAGGCTTCCTTAAATATTTTCTCCGAATATAAGTTAAAAAGTAAAGGCGACAATATACAGCCTTGTCTCACTCCTCTTTTTATATTTATTTCATCCGACAGTTCTTGTTCAACCTTTATTCTTGCCACCTGATGCCAGTATAGATTTGTAATTATTCGTAGATCTTTATCGTCCAATCCAGCTGTTTCCAATATTTCTAGCATTTTGTTATATCGGACTTTGTCAAAAGCCTTTTCAAAAGCCTTTTCATATATCAAAATGTACACATTTTGATATATATCTCTGCATCTCTGTACTAGCACCTGTATACTAAACAAGGCTTCTCTTGTACCCAAGCCACTCCTAAACCCAAATTGAGTATTGCTAATTCTATCCTCTAACAGCGTGTAAATTCTGCTGTGTATTACTCGCAGGAAGATCTTCAAAACGTGACTTATCAGACTTATTGTCGGATAATCACTGCATATCTTTGGACGATGTTACTTAGGTATTGTGACAAATGTTGACTTTAACCAATCAGGTGGTAATATCCCAGTGTCATAAATTCTGTTAAAGAGATTACACAGAGCTTTAATTCCATTTTCTCCCAAAAATTTTAATATTTCAGCACTTACTTTATCAGGGCCAAGTGCTTTTCCATTTTTTGCCGTTTATATTGAACGTGTAACCTCACTTTCTGTTATAGATGGACCTGATATAGCAAACGGTGTATAGTGTTCTACTCTCTCATCTTCAAATAATTCAGAAATGTAGTCCCTTTGTTTTAACTGGTCATTGATGTCTAATATTCTGTGTCCGTTTCTGTCTTCTAAACTTTGGGATACTTGTTTCCGTTCGTTTCCATGATAAAGGAAGTAACAAGTATTTAATTGAATAGCTAATTTTATTACTAAATTAAGGTCTGGTCATACTCCTTTCGGAAACTCCTTATCTCCTCTACTTAAAACCGCAGATCACTGTCTAATTCACACTAGTTTGCGAAACACAAACACAATAGCACTCTAACAGTTTGAACCAACGACGTTGTCTTTAGTAATAATAAATATGTAATACTAAGCAGCGTTTTACTCCAGTCGTGAGAGACTCAACCTCCAAAAATGATACGAACAAGCTGAATTTTGCCGAGGATATTAATTTTGGGACGCCAAAAGATGCAAAAAAGCTTACCACTTTTACCCTTGGGCTTCCCCCTAAAACTACCCCTAAAATATAAAGAATATAAAAAAGAAAGGCTAGATAGCATGAGAATAAAATAGAGAATGGGAAGCGTGTAAAAACATCGTACAAGACGGCCAAAGAGACCTTGAGTCTACAAAAAAAAGCTTAAATCAACTGAAGGACAGTGGTTCGATGAAGAGTGTCGTAATATAACAAAGAGGAAAAATAATGCATATCAACGATTACAACAACGACATACAACACGAAAGGCAGAGGAGGAATATAGAATTTTAAGGAGAGAAGTGACGAAAATGCATCGCGGAAAAAAGCGAACACAGAAAAAGAACTCCAAGAAATAAAAGAACTAAATAAACCGTCAGAAAACAGAACATTCTACCAAAATCTTAACAAAGTAAAAAAAAATCAAAAACAATAATGTGCGGAGACAAAAAAGGAAATATAGTAACTCAACAGAGTGAAATACTACAAACATGGACAGAATTCTTCAACGAAAAGTTTGAAAAAAACGAAGATCAACAACATAAAAAGGGAGATCAGCTTCCCAGAAATTTTGGAAAGATAAGTGAATTTAAGAATTTAAGTGAATTTATAGACACACATCATCTTTCCATTGATTTTTAGAGTGCCTATGATAGCATCTATCGAGAATTTCTGATCTATGCACTGAAAGAGTTTAATATTCCAATTCAACCCATTGATATAGTAAAAGAAACACTTAAAGTACAAAGCAAAATTCGAATTCAAAACGCACTAACAGATACAATCGATGTGAGAACGGGCCTACAACAGGAAGATGTCCTATCCTGTATTCTATTCAACATCACGTTAGAGAAAATAATTAGAGAGTCAAAAGTCAACACCAGAGGAAAAATAAAAACAAAAAGTGTACAAATATTGGCATTTGCAGATGATGTTATCATAGCTAAAAAGGAAAGAGAGATGATAGAAGCATTTAATGCAATAGAAAGAGCGGCACAAAATAGTGACCTAAACATTAATGAAATAAAAACCAAATACATGAAGGCCAGCAAATCGACAGGCCAAACAAATCTACAGAATCTATAAATAGGAGACTATAACATCGAAAGCATGAAAAATTTTACATTTCTAAGTTCACTAGATACCGCAGATAACAATGCCAGTAAAGAAGTTAAGAGAACAATACATATTTTTCTCATAATGGACTAATTAAACATCTAAGATCTAACAACATCACAAGAAAAACCAAATGCAAAATTTACAAAAATCTGATAAAAACGGTCCTTGTATATGGACATGTCGAAAAGCAATGTGAACCTAATAGGTACATTTGAACAAAAAATCCTTAGACACATATATAAGGGGGTGGAAGAAAATAACATATGGCGCAGAAGATATAATTTTGAATTATACACAGCATACAATGAACCCGACGTCAAAACATCCATAAAGATCGGACGTATGCGCTGGATGGGCCATGTTGAACGGATGTTGGAGACTGAAATACCACAACATATAATGAGGCAAACACCAGTAGGGAGAAGGTCAAAGGAAACACCCAAGATACATGGAACAAGTAGAACAAGATCTGAAAACACTTAAGATTACCAACTGGAAAAACTAAGCAAGAAACAGAACAGAATGACGGAAAATCGTAGAACAAGCCAGGATCCAGAAAGGGTTGTCGAGCTACTGATGATGATGACATCTTTTGGGGATCATTTTCCTGGCATTTCCTTTACATATTCAGTATTCAATGTCTTGTTTATTTCTCTATTGTCCTTTTTTTATTATTTTATAAGTAACTAATTTTCAAATATAAAAGGGTAATAATTGTTTATCAAAATATATTTTAATACAGTGTATTTTGATAAAACAGGACAAAAGTTTAGCTCCTATCATAAAATTTCTGATAGGAGCCCGTTTTATTACCGAATCTACTAAGATCGTAACATGCCAAGCTCCTGGCGCCACTACTGGTAGCCACTTTGTAGCTAAAATTTACTACTCAATTAACAAAAAGTCCAAATGGTCCATAAATCGTCCCATAAAATAATCAAAACTAAGTCACTTTGTTAAAAGCTAGACCGTTACTACCCACGATATATACAATTTGTTTATAATAATACGCCAGTTTACTGCATAAACTTTACATTATTACTATTTTCGTCACAGCCTTGTTTGACTTTTATGGCCAATCACCATGCCTAAATACGAAAGCTATCCTTATAAAAATCAAGAGTTTTCTTTCAATTTAGTCCGTCGCTTAGGATTTATGTTTAATGACGTCTATCAGAAGTTGCCGTTTTTCTACGAGGGAGGTTGATATTCATCTATATGAAGAGTGCGTTACTTTCTACTCTTTACATTGGTACACTAGTGAAAATTATATAAACTACCTGTAAAGAAATATCGAGTGTTATTTTATTTCTAA